AGAGGATGATTAACCACTGGAATGAGCTAGAATGGATGGATCATAGAATCATAGAATCATAGTTTAGGGTTGGAAGGGACCACTAGTGGTCATCTAGTCCAACCCCCCTGCAGTGAGCAGGGACACTGCTAACTAGATCAGGATGCTTGGTCTCTTGCTGCTTTTGTGGCAAGATGTCTTCTGGATGCAAGTTAAGCCAGGTAACAGGTTTGGTTTACCTTACGGTGGCCTCAGTGTAGAGAAGGTGAAGCAGATGAAATGTAACAGCCCACGTTTATTTATAGACACGTGCATACGCACACATGCACAGAATCCAGCCAGAAGACCTGAAGATTCCTACAAATCTTGAGCTGAATGTTGAGTAAAAGACTTAAACTTCAAAATGTTTTGGTACCTCCAGGAGAGGATTGGTTTGTAATTATGCACGGGGTTGGGAATCTGCCTTTATTGCGAATTCAGCAGCGGTAGAACTTCATTCTTGGGGCTGAATTTGCACATTTTCTTCACCATCCAATGCACCTGGTTTATCAGCAAGCTGAAACTTGGTTGTTCTGCATTTCAATAGCTGGTTTGGTAATAGTCCTGTTGTAGCAGTGGGGCCTATGTCCTCAGGCAGGTACCATGTTCAGCCACTGATACTATCCTGTGTGGCTTTAAGCCAAGAATTTAGCCCCTCTGTTCATGTTTTACTTTTGACAAAATGGTGATGTTTCTCTTCCTCAAGGACAAAAGCTTTTAATTTGTTTTTTGTAAAGCCTGTTTTAAGAACTGACCAAGGAAAGCATTAGTGAAATACAAAGTGGTGGCATTATTTTTGACTATGTGACTCACTCATTAAAAGGGAAAATTAATTTCTCTCCCAAATAAGTAATATCAGGCTCATCTTTACCAAGTGACTTCCTCCTTGCCTCTGCAGGGCGTTGTGGATCAGGGCGAACTGTACTTCAAAACATTTAATTGCATACAGTGAGAAATGAAGAAAACTGAAGTGGATCCCAGGAATGTATTAAAAATCTGAACTAAAATGAGAATGATTTCATGTCAAGTGAGACAAATGCAGAGTTGATACTCCAGTGCTTCACACTTCCACTTGTCCTTGATACTGAGAAAATGAGATTTTTAATATCTGAAAAACAGATTGCCACGAAGACTCATCTGTTGTAAATTTAAACTGCCTTTATAGCAACTTAAGCTGGGGACAAGATTGTTCATTACATCTGATTCTACAACTGTGGCCATGATTTCCATATTAATATTGAATTTTTTTTTAATTGTCTGTTCCAGAAATAGGAAGGAGAGCTGGTAGTGTTTTCCCTGTGTTAGCAGGTAATTTATTTAATGAATAATGCGAAAAGGGCAAAGTTTTGTGAGTTCTTACTTGCACATCAACTATAGATTGCGGTGACACCTGCTTTTGCTGCTGTGGTCAAACCCCGTTTGCTGCTTCGGTTTATGCTAAAAGGAGACTGAGGGGAAGAGGGATATTGATTCATGATTTCAGAATCATGATTTGCTGGTGGCGGAAGTTACGTTGTTCGGGACTGAACTTTTTTGGCTAAAATTATAGGTGAGGGGTTGCTTGTTTCCTGTCTGATGGGCCCTGAAATGACAAAAACATTCAAAGCAACCTTTACATGCGTGCGGGGGCAGGGAAGGTATTTCTGTGCCACTGAACTTTAGACCAACGTTGAGTCAAAGACTGTTTGTAACCCTTTTCAATAGCAGCCGTTCTGTTCTGGCATCGGGCTAGGAAGCACTGGCTTTCTCTCCTTTCTGTATAACGGCATTTGCTTCCACAAGTCCAGCTACCAAGGCAGACCTGAGGATTCCCCGACCTGCCTTCCTGCTTGGCTCTGCCTGTGACAGTTTGTGATTGCGTTCAGACCATAATGGTGCTGCCTCAACCTTTAACATAGCAAAAATTGAGAATTCCTCTTTTATTTTCTCATGAACTCTCTCCTGCTTATTTCTGCTGAAATGCTATCATCCTCTGGCTGCGCTCACAGCTCTGGAGTCTCTTGGAAAAGTTCCTCCTTGCTCCTCTGTTCACATCCCAAATTTGGGCTAGATCCTAATGGCTCTTCGTTTATAACATCTGAGGTCTGTACCATTTTTTTTCTCTTCCATTAGTATCACCAATATCATTGTCCTGCCTTTGTCATCTCACACCTGAGTTACTGCAGCCTTTTCTTTGGCTCTTTCTCTCATCTCCTCATGTTCCAGTTTTAATACTGCGTTTTGTGATGATGGAAGGTGATCTTTTCTTTCCTTTGCGGGTTTTGTTCTTTGCTTCTTCCACACTCCTCACCCTGGAACCAAATCTTTCTCTGAGAAATCCAGTTCTTTATCATTAGCCTCTCTGACCTTCAGGAAGTTGGTACATATTTAAGTCTAATTTGTTCCTCTTTGGAAAACAAAACGGCTTTCTGTATTAAACTCAAAATTTGGCAATAAGTCAACAGCATGATCTCATATTTTTTGTGACTACTTCAGGGAAAATGTTTTAAATGCAGTTGAGAGATCTAATAGAGAAGTGTTTTGGTATAGAACTAGCTTTAAAAGATTTGGGGTGGCTGACTGCAAGGGACCTGCGTGTTTCGCTTTTCCATCTGTCGTTCCTTCGGTGTCAAGATTTCTCTCCCAGGCCACAGTACATGACCCGTGGTCTGCTGGGACCACTCATCTTGTCTGTGACCTTGCTCTTGGTGATCTCCTTTCCTCGAGAGGAGGAAGGCAACTCGAGACCTTGACGTGGGCCAGCTGAATTGTTTCAGAAATGGCAGCAGGCAGCTCTCAGCAGATTCCTCCCCAAAAACACTCAGTGCCTTCCTTTGCCACATCTGAGTGGGAGCAATCATGTGGGGGCAGGCATAAAACCCCCGGGAAAGTTGGTGGCCAGAAGCTGACTGCTGCTACTTCTGGAAAAGCTTGTTCAGCCCAGCCTTTTTCCCTGAGAGTTCCTGAGTTTTTTCATGAAGAAAACGAAATGAAAAAGCAACATAAAAGGTATTCTATTCTGTGTGTGCCCAGTGGACTCCATCTGGAATAGGTGCAGTTCTTCCCCAGAGCCTATAGCAGCTGTGATAGAGGAAGAGCCATGCTATAGCGTCTGGACTGGTCTTAGCCACTGAGAAGAGCTATGTCTGTCCACAAGGCTTGGTTGATAATATTTCAGACATTTCTTTATGGAACAAAGTAAATCACCCCATGCAAACCCCTGTGCTGCTCTACCCACTTGTTTTTCTATTCCAGCTCACATACACCCATAGCATGAAGTGTAAATACTCTCTCTAGTTCTTTCTGCATCTGCCTGGATATCATATCCTGCCTTTCTCTGTCACCGAAGTCGGGAAGAATGAACCTCCTCGTAATACCAATGTAGTGTTAGAAGGCAGGCATTCTTTATTCACGGCGCTGGATGCACGGGGGTCGCTCCACCTAACGTGCAGCAACTTGTCCTGTTTATATGTAGCAAAGTGTTACATATGCATAAGTTTCCCAATAGCCTATACATATGCATAACCTGTCCCCGCTTTGTATTAAAATTAGCTTCAGGAGGTCATTTCCATAAGTCCCTCCCCACTGCGCTTGCTCAGTGCCTCCTTGTGGTGGTTGTCGGGGTCGTGGGGATGAAGGCTGATGGCTCCTCTTCGTCACCGCTAGTAACCCCTTGTTCTTGCGCAGACTCAGTTGCTCCTTGGCTCTTGCCCAAACTGCAGGGTCGGTGTAAACCAGTTCTTAAGGTAAACTCCTGGTTCTTATCAAAAACTGTCCTTCGTAAGGAGCCACAAATCTTCCTGCGTCAATTAGTTCTCATTCCTTCGAGTCTAGCAACCTTGGCAAACCGTTATTATCCTTTTGCTTCATCCCCTCCCGATTCTTTCCGTCCTTGAATAAAGTTCTAAATTTACTAAGTAACTACACTACTGACTTTAGCAAAGCATCAGCAAACTAGACAATAAGGCCTAAGTCTTATGCATGTAAGCCGCTTACATCAGGGGGGTCTTTTAACCCTTAAGGCGTCATCTCTTTCCCGTTGGTTAGTAGTTTGACTTCTGAAGCACTTTCAGTCCATGTTAGTTTGTGGAGAAAGACATCAGCAATGATAGCTAAAGAAAATTCTGTTAGGTCATTCCTTTTCAGAACATAGTACCTGTCTTCTAAGCTCTTTGCGGATGTTAGCCAAATAATCCTTTTAATAGCTTTTGTGAGTTAAAAGGGTAGGTAACTGTCATAAGGCTAAATGATTGCATAGATGAATTTACTTGTGGCCAAAAGAAATCAATTGTAATTTAAATTTTTCTCTCTGGACTGATTACACTACCAGACATCTGCTTTTGCCTCAGGAATCTACCACGTGCATTGAAGTGTTATGTCTGTGATTATATATGGGTCTGGGTTAGTTACAGATTATCCAGAGTAATGTGGTGGAACATTCCCAGTTTTTAACCTATGGGTGTACACAAGCTCAGAGTACTCAGCGGGTTGGCCTTGTTTAGATCTGTGAAGTGTCCATTAATAACTTCAGTCGTTATAATTTATAGGGTATTTGGATGTAAAAGAGTATTTACCAGACTTTAAGACCATGGTTCCATTGTAACCCATGTGAAAGCTCCCACTGAGGGCAAAGTGAAAAAAGAGGGTGAGGCTTTAACAGATCATTTAAAAAAAAGAATAAATTGAAAGATGATATAAAAAAATTCGTGGTTCTGGGGAGCGTTTTCTTAACCATGGTTATATTTAGTTATTGGTATACATTCTACTGCCTTTTAGCAGAGGGATGGATTGGGTGATTGAGAAGGATCCTGAAGGCGCCTGTCTTTGTTTTTTTTTTTAACAAGAAGTGATTTGGTGCTACTGCCTGGTGAAACTGCCATAAGGTTGCCCTCTGTAAGCCAGTTGTATAATTGAAAGTCAGATAACAAGGAGTCAGAATGTATTTGCCTTTCAAAGAAATCTCCAACATTCTTGTATATTTTCATTGTGTCTTACAGAATGGTGAATAACACTGAAGACCCCCAAGAGGCTTTATAACGTCCCATCCCCATGTAAAGTATGCTCAGAACTTTTCCAGTAGTGTAAGTACAAACTAAAACCCCAACAAAAACGCATTGCTGAGAGCTCAAGAGTTGTTGTTGGGGGGGGGGTATGTGGGGTGGGCAGTTGTGTTAATTTTTCTAAAAAGAGCAGAGAAATGGTTGCTATAATTATTAGCAGTTTGCTAAATTGGAGAGTTCCACTGGTTCGGTATTTGCTAGACATTTAAACCAGGGAACAGTAGCATTTAATTCCTCACTTGGTCTGGCTGTTACGTTATTTCTACTTCTACTTTTCTGTTGCTGAAAGAGAAGGGAAATCATGCCGTTCTTAGAAACTCAGCCTTGATCAGAGAAAGGGTATTGTTGAAAGAGAGATCTCCATACATCCACTGAACGTACTAGAGGGATACCTGAGCTGTACAAGAGAGTGTAGCACCATTACAGACTTGGTGAAAGGGGATGAGTACACCGTTAATGTAGTGTTGTATAGCAAAGGCAGAAAACCTGGGGCACCTAAGCTAACATGAGAATTAGATGTGTTGGTCCAAGCATCCCGGTACAAACTGAAGTTGTCTAAATCTCATCCTTGAATTTGAGCTTATCAGTTCGTTCTTTGAAATTACTTCTGTCATGAATCTTCAGTGTAATTGCTCTTTCTTCAATAAATAAGCAAATGAATTCAAAGTTTGAAGCTTGTCAGGCTGAAAGGAAAAGCTTGACCTGTACTGTGCTGTCATCCATCTCTCACTGGCCACTCCTATATCACTGTTCCCCATCCCTCTTTCATAGGCACGACCAAATGCTTGTCCACTGGCAATCAGATTCTTGAGATATTTTGACCTCTTGACTTCTGATTGTACCTTCTGTCAGACTGAGGTGGAAACAGAAATCCTATCTACAGAATAGGTAGCAAGAAACCGGGCTGCCATGAATGCAGTCAAATTTTCCCAGATGGATTATTTTAAGGATGAAAATTACTCATCTAGCACATGGACATTCATAGTGGAAGTGGCAGTGCGGTCACAGACTTCAGTAGAGGGAGTCACAGCAAAAAGTAACGACTTTTCTCTTAGAAACTAAACTACCAATGTATTTCAAAAAGACTTGACACAACTGTTAATTATTTATTTTCTGTTGCTGGTGGCTTAGTCTTCTATTCAAAACTAGTAGTTTCCTACTTTGTTGCCAGTCCCCTGAGCCACCTCCTCTTCTTTCTTTTAGCTGGAAATATGTTGGATTTCAGTATTAAAATCACCACTTGAAATTGTAAAGATCTAGTTCACAGCAGGAAAGAAGTCTGGAGGTAAGGCCACGCTGCCCTGTGCATCTTTATTATCCTGGTAATTCAGTTTGTAGAGTGATCTTAGAGCTCCTCTGTGCTTTGTGTGAGCACAAGGACAGTCTGTCAGCTTTAACTTTGAATCAGACTTTTAACATATATTTCTAAACTGTGATATATATATAGTTTTAATTTCTTGGGCTTTAGCTAGATTTCAGTCCTGTTCTGCCCCTGTGCGGTTTTCGCTGGATATCGTGGTGTTCTGTTGCTTTCTGGAATCGTTGTGGCACATCGATGTGCCCTGTTAAACCGCTGCCACCCTCCATCAGAGAAGCAGCAGCTTTTTCGATTTATTCCAGTATACATACTATCATTGCGAATGCAATATAAGTATAGGTGAATAATTTTTGACTGAGTGAAAGCTGGGGTGAACCTATTTGGAGGGGATTAGAGAGAATTTACAGGAAATGGGGCAAAAGATGACTCATTTAGGTATAATGTTTCCAGTTTAAACCATAGGTATCTTTTAAAAAGGTTAAGTGGGCATTAAGGTTTCAGAAGGGGAAAGAAGAAGACGGAGTCTTAAAAAAAAAAAGTTTTAACTTAGTTAAAAAGTTAAAACACTTTAACTTAACTGAATAAGATTAAAATTGAACAGTCTTTTAAAACTACCATGGTTGGAGAGTAGTTTGGTTTCTCCTGTCATGGGGCAGCATCCTCTGTCAGAAGAGCAAAACAGGCAGCTGGCTGCGGTTACCATTTCACCTACCTAATTTTTATCCACGGTTGGATGAGAGTCAGTACTCGAGAGGAATTTGGGGCATGTTGTGAACACAAGACTCTTGATTTTGGTCTCACAAGAAGTAGTCATTTATCTGAAGCGAAGTCCTTCTGTAGCCAGTGCAAGTATCTCTTGTTGGGTTCTCCATAAATATAATGGGAGTAGTTAGTTGTGCTTTGCAGGCTCACCGCAGTATTGATTAATTAATATGTGTTAATAGTGAGACATGACCATCAGTGTTTGTGTTGTGTGTTTCGAACTCTCTCTCAAAATATGATTTCTGATAGAACTAGACAGTTTCAACATCGTCACTTAAAGTTTACCTGAATTATCGGGCCGGTGCTTATGAATCTAACTGCCAGCAATGACAGAGCTGCCTTGGGAGTGAGTAAAAGCCTGCTGAGTGGAAAGAAAATCAGTGTGAGTAATGCAGATGAAAAAAAGACTACATTGAAGCCTTGTCATCATTTAGGAAAAACAACAGAAAGGAACAAGTATGTGACCAATACCAAAGTCAGTGCACCTTGAAGAACAGACAGTGGAGTTACAGCGGCTTAGAAAGTCAGCACACGGCTGAGCTGTGTTAACTGTCCAGCTTCCCCGAAATGTGACACGGAACACGTTAATTAAACCTGGGTGAAAGAGGACTCGGCTAATTTGCTCTTTTTGTCTGCAGTGACAAGGTATCATGTAAATAGTTGGTAGCTGTAGGAATGTTCAGTTGGCATTTTAAGCTTCCTTAACTGAAACAATGTCTTGTCTGAGCCCTCAGTTTTACTTTAAGATAAACCAGATGAGTTAATTCATGATTTCACAGGCAGCTAAGCTCTGAAAGGGACCTAAGAAATCTTGTTGCACGTGTGCCTCTTAGGCCTACTGCTGCTTTTGCCCAAATTGGCTTGCCCCATCTGTTTAGTTGGTAATAGCAATCATCAGAGCCTTCTCTAAGCTAATTCAGCTCACTAACCCAGGCAGAAACTAGCTGTGGGTGGGTTGGCTGGTTGATTGATTTTCCTGCTGGGTTAGTGAACGGAGCTGAACTGGTCTGTGGACTTTTCCACCAAGTCCTGGAGCTATGCAGAAGGGCAGAGGAGCAGTTTGTAGGTCGGTTCACCCTCTCTCATGCATCTGCAGCCTGAGAAATTGCATCTGTAGGTGTTCTCCTCCTGCTCCAAACAGGACATGGAAAGATTCGGACTTGCCCTGAGAATATAGACTGGGTCTTCCCTATGTCATGCAAGAGGAAATTTCTCTAGTTCAGGTCTGGGCTACACAAAGAGGTGTTTGTTGTTTTAAGAGCATTAGTTAGGACCTGTGTTTCTTTTTGAAATGCTTTTAAATAAAATACAACTCTAATATGGAAGCAACTGTGGCCAAAAGCCTGTGTTTTTGCCATTATGATTTATATTCTTCAAGGAGCTGCTGTTATCCATTCCTGAGTTGTTCTCCAAGTATAATCTCTGTCTTCACTGAGACAGCGTGCCAATAAAACTACGCTTGCAAACTGTTTTCTAGTGGGGAAAAAAATTTGCTTTGCAGTTAAGCACAAAATTAGGGGTAGGTAAGTTTTAGTTATTTGCCAGGTTTGGATTTTAGTTTTCTGATGTAACAAATTTCTCTTTTAAGAAAGCATGTTGATTGTCACTGCTGGTGTAGATCCTGAGGGAGAACGCGGGTGCCTGAAATACTTCAGAACGTCTCTTTTTCTTTACGTGTGGAAGAGAGGTGGTGGAAATCCTGCTGATGGCATTCCTTGAAACTTGTCCTGCACCTTGTCATATCTGATGCTATAGATGGACCCTGTAGGATGGCTGTACGTGTGGTGAGAAAACGCTCAAACCTTGGCCGGGCACTCGGTCTGCCTTCTTGCAGAATGCCTCTGTGACTTTGAACAAGTCGTTTTGACTTGTCTGAAGGCCAGCCCTTTTCTGTGAGCTCTTGGTCTCAAAAATCAGCCTCGTTTTACTTCCCTGCCTCACAGGGAAGATGTGTTCCAAGTATTTAGATACTCCAGCTAGCAGAGTTGATATAGAAGCGTTCCAAGATTCTGTTTGGATTTTAATAAAGGATCGGTCGAATTCTGAAGCAAACTGGAGGAGGCAGAAGACAGCAGTATACCTGCCCCTGTAATCTTGACAGCTGAGAATAATTGACTTGCTAGTCTGGTGTCTAGGGTAGGCCCACATCTCACTTTTATTGCCACAATAACTCTGTTTCTTCATGTGGGTTAAAGTCAGCATTTCAATGTCTTGGTGAGATTGCGCAGCTCTGTAACTCAAGCGCACAAGTCCTGCCCTGATTCTGTTACAGAGCTTATATATCCGAAGTTTAGTCTTCGGCTCCCAAATCCCAAGAGCTCCTCCTTTGCTCTTGGCACAGGTTTGGGCTTTGGGCCCTGGTTCAGCACTCAGCTGCCACTACAGCTTTTCTCTCTGCTCGTTAGTCCTTCTGATCCCTCATTCTGCCCTTGAATCCAGCCTCCAAGTTTGAATTCCTGCCTCGTTGCTGTAGAATTGCAACAATAGTAGGAAACCCAGATTTTAGAAATAGGGAAGGTTAGGGTTAGACAGATAAGGTGTCAGTGTGAATCAGCCTGTGCCTTGAGTAGAATTCAGAAGTATCTGGCTCCCAGCCCTGTGCTTAGTCAGAGGTCAGTCTCTTTTGTAAGACTTGGATTATGACAATAAGTGTCATTTATATTATATTTTTGCCTTGTAAGAACTATCTTGAGTTCTCCCATCCCCAAAGATGTAAAGCAGATACTATAAAGCAGAGTAAGTTACTCTCCCAGGTGCAATCAGTGGCAAAACTGCTAGGGTTTGCTCGCTGCCAGCGTGCCGGCATCCAGTAAAAAATACTCTGTTGGCAGTGAAGAATTTCAAAGACTGAGTGGAAGAACAGCTTATGTAGAAGTAGTGAATCTGGGTTGGGGGCTCTTTAACTAGCTGAGAAACTTGAAGCCTCCTGAAGAAATGATATGTTGATATTCTGCTCTCAGCTTGCCTTCTGTAATTTGTGTAGCGGTGAGTATTTGATTACGTTGGATTTATTTTCAGAAGTTTCAGGCTGCTCTTATTAACTGTCACCATTTTGATCGAAAGCGTATGGCAGTGTTCTGCATTCATAAGACAGTGTTTTGCATTCATAAACAGAACCGGTGACGTTTAACCTCGATAGATCAGCTTGTAGTCTGATTTCACTCCTTGCTGCAATGTGAGGCTTTCGTTTCCCTGGGATGAGAGCAGTCATTACAAGCATTACATTTTGTTTGTGAATCAGGATGAATGGGAGTAGAGTCCTCTTTGAAAATCAGAACTAAGAGATGCAACTGCAGGAGATAATTATGTTAACGTATGGATAAGGATGGCTCTGTGTTCGTTGACATGATGAGCACTTGAGGCCTGATTTTTATTTTTTTTTTTTTTTTCTCCCCTCTCTTGAAATCTGGTACAACTCCACTGAAAATACTGGAGTTGCAACTGATGAGCATAAGTGTTGGCTCAGATGAGTCAGATCCTTAATCCTCTGTTGCGCCCCAGAATTCATAGCATCAACTACTTTTTTGAAGGCAGCTTTTCTTAATATGGTGCAAAGCTTTGGGCGTTTCTGAAATATTTAAATGGGCTGTGAATAGAAGAGATGCACTTGTTTAGTAAGAACAGAAAAGGCTAAAGCTTGAATTTCAGAAGACTAGATAGTGCTCTGCCCTAAATGTCCCAGTTTTGTTCCAACAGCGCCTTAGAGCTGCTCTTGATGGGTCACAGTCTTTACCTGTCAGTGTGTGTGCATGGTGTGCACCATTTACTTCGTGATATACGTGAACCACTCTGTGGAAGAGCTATAGCTCAGAATGAGAGTCTCTCTTGAGCATCCCATCCTTTGGGACGGGTAACAGTGGGTGAGATGGAGAAAAGGAAGGAGTGAATGAAACTTTGCTTGGGTCCTTGGATCTCATAAAAATGTATAGAGAGAAACAAGCTTGCATAATATAAAGCATGTTAAAAAATTAACAAACCGGTCAGCTAGAAGTAGAGTTTCTTTGTAGTCACTGGTTCTGATAGAAAGCAGTAGTAGTTCAGTAGAAGGAGTGGTAGTTCATGTGAATTAGGTTGTTGAGTATCAGGCCGGTTGATAAGCAAATTATATTGCCTTTGGAAATAGCCATGCCATCCTTAATAGCCATTTTTGCTTGCTGTCTAAATCAGAGACCTCATGTAGAAAGGAAACCTAGCAGCCCAGTCAT